TTAAATCATCCTCCGCCGAGGGCCGGGGCAGCAGCTGGAGGACCTGTGGGCTCTGCGGCCCTCACCTCCAGCTCTGTCACTCAAGCTCCCCGCTGTGTGCTTTCGGGTTGCTTTGTATCTGGGCTTGCAATGGAGCGTCCAGGTGACGATTAGGTCAGTGGCAAGATGACAGCTAGGAGACACCCAAAGGGAGAGAAGCCTCCTTCATGAAGGTGTTGCGGGAGGTAAAATGAGGGTGACGGGAGGCGGCTAGACCGGGATGGGTCCTCCTAAGGGGAAGAATTCCAACGCCCCGACCTTGGTCACCCACCACCCCGAATCCAAGTGGGCAGGCAGCCAGCACTCCCGGCCGCTGCTTGTTACAGAGTCCTGTCGACCTGCCAGTTTCGTTAGCCAATCGAAAACCCTCTGGAGCTTCTCCGATCATCAGACCGGAGAGGGAGGTGAAATTTTTGCTCAGATCTGCCCGCCAATGTTCCTCCTGCGTGTCGATCACTAGTGCTAAGAGACGGAGGAGTGGTTCAAGTTTGCAGTGGTGAAGAGAAATTGGTGCTGGGGGCGGAGAGAGGAATCCTACACAGTGCTTTCTACAAGCAAAGGGGATGGGGGTGGATAATCAGAAGGGAAGAAACTCGGGAAGAGCTTCCATTTGGTTAGAGGTCGCAGCCAGAGGCCAATCTTAGGCTTACTAAGACCCCGCCCCAACCAAGAAAAAAAAAAACATAAAACAAAAACAAAAACACAAAATGCTACCAGGGTTTGTTAGTTCCGCACCAAAAGCAGAAGCTCCTCCCTTTGCCTTGTGATTGGCTATTTTCTCCTGTTCAGGACTGTCTCCTCACCGTATTGGCCTATAAGAAGATAGAACCTGCCTTCAAGAAAAGTCAACAAACCAATTAGGCGTGGGGCTCAGTGCATTTCGGGAAGTGTAGTTCTGTATAGTTCTGTGGTCCAAGACTATGCCTTCCACTTGGAACTTCTAAAACTTTGCTTTGTGGTTTCATACTTGTTGAAGTAGGAAATTAACTCACATAAGGGAGAAGGGAAGGAATAAAGCAAATTTGAAGACTTTCCTGAACTATTTCTGACTGGCTCTAAACTTTGGGGGTTTTGTTTGTTGTTTTTTTGTTTTTGTTTTTGTTTTTTAGTTCTCTGAAACACATTTTGCTCAGTTTGATACATTATATTGGGTACAAAGGACTTTAAAAAGTAATATTAGTCTTCAACAAATTTGATGCTGAGTCAAGAGAACAACCTCACATAATCAAATGTAAAATCATATGACCGGACGGTGGTGCAGTGCTGAAGAGAGACGTTGAATTTAACCAGAGGCGGCCTGGAAATGGGGATAGCCATCTTATGCTGAATGAAGGAGCAGACACTGATGCAGAGAATCAAGCGGAGAACTTTCTGAGGGTGGCGAGGGAGGCTTTTTAAAAATTGAACTACCTCAATAGCTTTCTTTAAAAATCCAAATGACTGCACAGGGCAATCTATAGAACAGGTAAGTCACACCCCTAAATTTTATGATATGCTTTCCCAACTAGGTTTAGAATAAATTTGTTGAGAAAAATCATCATCACTGAATTACAAAACTCTAGGGAGACCATTTTCTGTCCAGAGGCCTTGTGATGCAGCAGATGTCTGGCTTCCATATGCCTGACAAGACCTTCAATCCACCCCTGGGTCATCTGTGCAAACTTGGACAAATGTATTAAATTTCATCAGAAACCAATTCATCATGTGAGATGCTTCTTGTGTAGAAAGGTCCATCACCTAAATGGGGAAGGCGATGGAAAGAACAAAAATGTTAGTGCTACGTTTCTTAGCCCTCTGTTCTCCAAAACTGATAATTTCTTGGTCCGTCAGGATATTTGAGTTGAAAAGGAACTTTTAAGAGGTCACCAGGTTAGGTCAGGCCCCTATTTTTGCTATAGAGTTATTGCTTTGATTGCTATACCTTAGCAGTCTCATCAGATTCTGAATTCATCCTGCCATTCCCACATCAACCCAAAAGAGTCTAGAATTGAAGATGAATGTTAATCGGTTTTATGACATTACAGGACAGCAGAACATATCCAGAAATCCACTTAGTAAAAAAATATTAAGACTGTAGTCACTATTATAATAGCAAATATAAGATGATGTGTCCTCAAACTCTATTGTAAAACTTTTTTTTCTTTTGTTTTCTTTGGGGGACCCACCACCCAGTTCCTAAATAAATCAAACACACACTGAGTCTTATTATTACTTATGAATGCCTGGCCTTAGCTTGGCTTGTTCCTAGTCAGCTTTTCTTACTGTTAGTTATCCCATCTACCTTTTGCCTCTGGGCTTTTCCTGTTCTCTTATTTCTGTAAATCTTACTCTTATTCTGTGGGTGGCTGGGTGGCTGGCTCCCACATCCTCCTCTCCTGGTTCTCTTGTTTCTCTTTTTTTCCCTCTTCCGTTCTCCTTCTATTTATACTCTCTGCCTACCAGTTCCACCTATCCTTGATCCTGCCTCTCTATTGGCCATTCAGCTCTTTATTAGAATGTCAGGTGTTTTAGAGAAGCAAAGAATCACAGCTTCACTGAGTTAAATGCATCATAAACAAACGTCACACACCTTAAAGTAATATTCTACCACAAAACTCCTTTTATTTCTTTTTACATTACATTTATTTTCCCTATGTGTGTATTTGGGGTGGGGTGTGTGCCCACAAACCCAGAACACTGACAGAGTAGTCAGAAGATAAGCTTCTGTGTTGGTTCATTCTCCCATTTTGTGGGTCTGGGGATGGAATTGACTTGACGACATGCACCTTCAGTCACAGCACCATCTTGCCAGTCCCTGCTGGTACTTCTTATAAACCAGTTTCAACTGATTGCTTTTTAAAAAATTAGGATAGAAAGTTTTAAGAAATAAATGTAAAATATTAAAGTATTAAAATTTAGCATAGCGTAAAACTTTAGTAATTGATAGTTCAGTTTAATTTTATCAGAAAGCATCAAATTATACCTGTAGTAACTTCTCAACAAAGATTGTGTTTTGTCCTGATTGAATGAATCAGTATGTTGAATTCAAGCAGTTCAACACCTTCATGCCTTTGGACAAATGATAGTCTCTTTCCCAGATGGAAATTTTTTCTTACCCACTTATTGAATACTGCACTGGGACCAGGTGCTATATGTAAAGCAAACCACTGCCCACTTATCAATAGGTAGATTGCATTTAACCCAGTCAGAGTGACACTAAGTAATACTACCTAACTTGATAGTATTAAGTTAGCAAAAAGAAATCTAAACACACACAAGAAAGACAGTCCATTACATTATGAGACTTGGAACGATAAAATTCAGAAAGGTATAAATTTCTGAACCTGCCAGACTTCATTATCAGACTTAATGAAGATTATATCCAGGGGCAATTGAATGATGGCTATATACAGAGGCAGCTTAATGTTGATTGAGATAACCTGTAAATATTTTTGTTTGTTTGTTTATTGGCAGACTTTCTGGAAAGTGAATGAAATCTACATCACTGACTAACATACATTTTTATTGACTTAGCTTCAGTTTATGAAGTCCCAAAGGTTTATAAGAATAACAGTAACTGATTTCACTGTGTGATTTAACAAAGTATTGAATTTAAATTATTTGCCAGTTGCGACATAGATGTTAATTAGTTCAGGCTCTTTTGATAAAACTGTTTCCTAGATCCTGTTTAAACGATGAGCCTGGGTGACTGTTTTTACTCAATGAATACTGTTCCCAGCTCACAGAATCAGAAGTGGGAATCTGAAATCAACCAAGCCCACAAATAAGAATTCTGGAAATTTGGAATTGAGTTATGACGCTCCCAGGTGAGCTGAACTCTGGAGTCATATAGAGGTAAGACTTGGTCTTTATTTTGCTTCATGAATACTGAAACTTTGAATGACCAAGAAACATGAGTCTGAAGAGCACCAACTAGCACACCATTGACTCCAGGCAGGTAGAAAATAGGATAGCCATTCCCAACATGCCACTCACTGTTGTTTTCAAGCCATTCTCAACTGCTCCCTTATACAGTCATCTACTATACATTCCTCCCCTTTTTGGTGCAAATCAGCTAAATGCATTTGTCCTTTTACAATCAAGTATTTTAACAGAAATTTAGACTACATCTGTCTCTGTAAATAAAAGAATGCAGGGCTATGTAGCCATATTCCATTGGCCATTTTTACATCCTCCCATCAATTCTTTCTACAGTCCTTAGAAATCTGGGTTGGTAATTTGGGCCAGAAGGGTTAAAAGAGATACCAATGTAAATTCTCAGTCAGATTCTGAATTGCATTTTAATAGTGGTGCAAAGGGGATTTGCTGATGGCCTTGGGAAAGAGAAAGAAAAGGAAGAAGACACACATCTCAAATTCAGCCTGAGGTCTGCAAAGTTTGACACTGTAGCTTCATTTCCACAGCTATGACTCATGGGTAGGTAATTTCCAGTCACCGTATATACCTTAATGGACTCCACAAACACAATCAGCTAAATAAACAAGCCTTTCCTGAGAGAAACAAGCAAAATCTACTACATTGTGATCTTTGTCCAGCTCTAACTTTTCCAGAAAAACAGATCAAACAGACTTTAAGTCAGACTA